CCCCGGCCCCTGCCCCTGCCCCAGCCCGGCGTCTCCTCCCCGGCCTCCCTCTGCCCGACCCTCTCCCCCCTCCCCGGGCCCCGACCTGGCGTCGCCCATCCGCGGCCTCGCCTGGACCGAGCGCCGGGGTCTGCGGCCCCCGGCGTTCCGGTCGTGCGGGTGAAACGTGCTCCTGCCCCGCGGCCCCCGCGGCTCGCGCCGGAGCACCGTGTCTGTGAGCCCGGCGCCGCGCCTGCACCCGCGCGGTCGGGGGCTGCAGGAACGCGGGGGGCCCCGGCAGCGCGGCGAGACCTGAGGGTTGGGGGGATGCTGGGGGCCCGGCGGCGAGTCCCGGGGGCTAAGGGCGCTGGGGAGCTCCGGGGCCGCGCGGGGCTCACTGCGCGTGCCGGGGGGGGACTGCCGCGGGGCGCGCTGAAATCAAAGGTGCTTTTTTCGTGCGGCTCCGGCGCGTCGGCAGGTGTGTGGCCTGCGGCGGTCCCCGCGTGGGCTGCGCGGTCACGGGAGCTGTGCTGTGACACGCTGCTGCTGTGACCTGAGTCGTCGTCGCGTGTGTGGGGCCCTCGGCGATCCTGGACGGTCCGGGCGGAGCAGTGGGGGGGTTCGCTGGGATGGGGTAGGTCTGAACGACAGGTGTAGGGGTTTAGTCCGGCCCGTGGAGGGCCTTTTCTGCCCGAACTGTTGCGGTAGGGTACTGAAGGGCCGTTGGGGCGGCCCTTTTCACCATTCAGGCCTAGACTTTGATATTGTCTGTAAGTGACAAGACGGATCAGCGTCTCCGGGGACTCTCAGGTCCTGTTCCGGCCATGCTCGGGCTCCGCGGCTTGGAGGAAGCCCGGGTAGGAGTGAGCACAGCTGGGCGTAGGCCTCCTCCGCCTGGCAGCCTCACCAGCCAGAAGTCCGCGTGAGGGAAGCTTTTCCAGCGCTCCAGATTGGCCCGGGTGCTTGCTGTTCTCTCTATGTAGATATTTCCCCGCTGATTAATCAGCAAAACTGGATCTTCCCAAAAATAAACAATGTTTCTTTTTTGAGACAGTTTTGCTCTGTGGGACGAGCTGTGAAGAGGCAAGTGTGTCTGCCCACGTTTGGAGGTGGTGATGGAAAGCAGGCTCCCCACCCTCAGCCTTCACTTGGCTTCGGATTCCACCTGTGCTGTGTGATCTAAGACCAGCCTTGGCTTCCTCATGGGGCATCTGGGGTGCACCTACACCGCTCGGGAGTTGGGAAAAATAAATCATCTGCCATGGCTGATGATATGGTGGCATTCATGGCCATCGTAAGGCCTGGCTGAACTAGCCTGGAGTTGTCCCTGACTCCCAGGGTACCGTCCCTGCAGACCTGTGATTTCAGCCCCGTTGAGACCCTCCTGGGTGTGCGGCTCCTGGACGAGTCTGATGCACTGGGTTATACTAGGTTCTTGGTCTTTCTGTAAGTCGATATATGTGTCCGTATTTAAGTGTTTACGTGAAAGGTGCAGTTTGATGCATTTTGGCATGTATGTTCCCATGAAACTACCCCCAGTCAAGATACGGAGAACATCCATCACCGAAAATTCACCGCAAAGGTTCTTTCTCTGTTCTCAGAATCCATCTCTCACACCCCTTGCCCCAGGCAGCCACTGCTCTCTGCGGCCCATAGGTTGATTTGCATTTTCTAGAATGTTTTGTAAGTGGAATCATATCCTCTTTTTGTACATCTTGAGTTTACACAGCATGATCATTTGGAGATTTACCCACGTGTGAAGTACTAGTTCATTTCTGTTGCCGAGTGGTGTTCTGTGGTGTGGATGGACCACAGCTTGTTACCTACTCACCTGTTTGCATACATTCACCAAATTGCTGTTTGTTTTTTTTTTAACATTCTATTTATTTGAGAGAGAGCGTGTGTGCGCAGGAGAGCACGAACAAGGGAAGGGGCAGAGGGGGGAGGAAGAAGCAGCCTCCCTGCTGAGCAGGGGTCTCAGTCCCACGACCCTGAGATCAGGGCCTGAGCCGAAGAGAGAAGCTTAACTCACTAAGCCACCCAGGTGCCCCCAAACTGCACTGTTTTAATTGTGTTTCCCAGCAGTTGAAGGAGAAGGGGGCACGCAGTCGGGCAGTGCGGTGGGTCAGACTTACTCCGTGCGCGGGCCTCAGGTGTGGGCAGTAGTTGGGGCCTGGTGGCGCGGCTGGGGGCTCTGACCACTCGGTGCTGCTGGTGTCAGTGGGTGGCCACCCAGTGTCTCAGATCTTTCTCTTCCAGGACGAGGAGGGAATGCGCTTTCCAAGCCTGTGGGTTTATTGGTGCTCGGTCCTCCTCCACCCCCTTTCTGGCTTCCATGGCTGTTTTGCGGGGTGGCCAGAGGGCCCCTTGCCCAGTATTAGGATTGTCACCTCCCGGGAGGGCCTCTGCAGCCAGCCTGCCTCCCCCTCAGGGGCCTTTCTGAGATTTGTGTGGTTTTGCCTCTTAAATGAAGAAAAATTTTTTAAGAGAGAAACTTACAGGGGCGCCTGGGTGGCTCACTTGGTTAAGCGTCTGCCTTTGGCTCGGGTCATGATCCTGGGATCCTGGGGTCCTGGGATCGAGCCCCGTGGGGAGTCTGCTTCTCCCTCTGCTCCCCCTCCAGTCAGTTGTTGGCTGGCAGATGACACCGGCATGTGCCCACAAGGTGTGCTGAGCAGGTACCCTGCCGTTGGGGCTGCATGGACGGTGCCAGGCTGGAGGGTTCTTACTCCATCTGCTCTCAGCGCCCCGGAGCCTTGGACCCAGATGATAAATTCCTTTCCATTCCCTGAGTTCTGCAGAAAGAAGCACGTTCATTTCTCAGGGTTGCCTTTCGCTGTTTGTTTTCGGCTTTCCTTGATCTGCAACAGGTGATTTCACCTGGATGGGAAGAGTGTTGGACAGGGCGCTTTGCCCCGCCCCCCCGGGCCCCCAGGCGGGTGCTTGAAAGCAGGCCCTGTTACCCCAGGGATTTGCTGTCACCTGCTTGTTAGCAACTTCTTTTATCTGGTGTTCTGAGAGGTGGTCTCTTGCTGTGCATCAGACGGAGGAGTCCAGAGTTCTGTCCTGTCTTTTGTAAGTAGCAGCATGCTGGCAAGATTGTCACTTAGGATAAGTGCCTATACATCCATGGAAATGGCAGCATGAGGTGGTGTGCCTCCGAATACTTGTCTTTCCAGAACAGTCCGTGGCAGTGCTGGCCCCAGGTCATGTGCAGGGCGGCTCCTGGCAGGACCAGACTGGGATGAGCAGGGTTGGTGTGGGAGTAGGCTGTGTGCGTGCGCGTGCGAAGGAGAGAGAGAGGGCTCTCAAAAGCGCTGTTGCAGAAACCACAGGCTGTGCAGATGACCTGCAGGCTGGCAGTGGTTTTCTTTCTTGGGGTGCGGGTTCTTCTCTCCAGCCCCACCCCCCTACCCAGCAGATGGGGTCTTCTGTTGGGGCGTGTCTGGGCCAGCTGGGTTCCCGTGTGTGACTGTGATGGGGTTGTGTTCTTCTGGGGAGTTGTCTGGTTGTGGAACCTTTTTGAAGAAAATACCTTTTCTGTGGTTAATTGAACAGCCAAGCGCTCGCATTCCCACCTGACCCGTCGGTCCGGGTGAGCTGCAGACAGGCTCCCAGGTGCGTGTGTTTGGTGTTTGCCTGTCTCGGTAGCACCTCCGTGCTGCTGCTTCAGTATCTTTAATTGGTTGTGTCTTAACTGGGAGCCACAGACTTGACTGGTTGTATTTCTTTTCTGATGATCATGGAGTTAAATTCCAGCCAGTGAATGGAGCATCCGGCATCACCTGTGCTTAGCTCCATGTGTGCTTTGGGAAGCCGCTTCCTGCTGTTGCCTTTCTCTCCGACCCAGCTGTGCTTCGCTGAACTTGGTCTGTTGCAGACGGACCATCCTCCCGTTGTTTGTGTTGAGTTAGTTGCTGGGCTCTGGCCGCTCTGTGTTTCTGTCTCTGCAGTTCAGGAAACTGAGAAATGTGCTCAAAGTGGGAAAGTGAGTCAGGCCAGAGGGGTGGAGGGGCCCTTAGGGGGCGGGGTAAGAGGAGAGCACAGGGAGGGGGTGGGGACCGCAGTGACATCACAGTGGGTGCTGCGTGTGTGTGTGTGTGTGTGTGTGTGTGTGTGTCCCCCACCTGTGAGTCTCCGTCCTGGAGCTCCCGCTGTCCCAACCCCTGAGCGCAGCCTTGACCCTTGGTTCTCTGATGGACCCCAGTGTGCCGCTCTGTCCCCCACGCAGCTCCTACCACCGGGGCAGGCCTGTGCTTCAAGGTGGAAGTCAGCCAGCCTTTCTCTGGGTCCTGCTGAAACCCTTGAGCTGCTCCAGGCTTGTTTAGGTGCAGACGACATCCCCTGCGGGCGCTGCTCTCCAATGTGGGGCACAGGTCTGCTTGTCCCCTGAGGTCCGAGCTGCTGACAGCAGGGACTCCGTGTGTACCAGGGGGACGTGGGCCATGGAGCACCCCAGCGTGGAGCCTGGACAGACTCTGAGGGGGGCAGGGTGCTGTGACCGCTGGGTGAGGTGGTGGGCCTCAGGAAACAACACACAGCTCCACTCCATCTTTGGTAGGAGGCCTGTGCGCCTGCGTGCCCGTGTACGGGATTGTTTGCTTTATGAAGCTTTCACGTTGACGCAAACGTTTTATCTTTAGCATGTAATCTCCAAACTATAGCCATTGGGCTGGGTGAACATCATCAACAGGTATGTCAGACTCTGGAGGATGTGTGTGGTGGAGCATCTGCCTAACTGGACCTAACTGGGGCTCTGCTCTCTCTCTCTCTCTCTCTCTCACAGATATATGTCACAGAGCAAGCACACAGAGGCGCGGGAACTCATGTGCTCAGGGGCACTGCTGTTCTTCAGCCACGGCCAAGTACGCAGGGGCCTCGTCCCCTTCCCTGCTTGGGGCCTGCGGGTTGGAAAAGGACCTTCCAGGGAGAGGCCTTGTTGTTGGCACTGGCCACAGCCAGGCGAGTGTCCTCGTGTCCCGGGGCACTAAGAGAGCTGGTGCCCGTGCACCTGGGGTCTTGGTCCTTCAGGCCGCACTGCCGAGTGAGTGCTGGGCTCAGAGTAGCGTCCTTAGCTTCGGTCCACCGTGCGTTGCTAGCTGGAAACCAGAGTGGCCGTCCAGCTTTGCCGTGGCTTCTGAGAACAAGCCAGAGCTGTTTTTGTGATTTTTACTCACTTCCATGTTTTATAGCAAAATAGTGCCGCGGACTTGTCCATGCTGGTCTTAGAGTCGCTGGAGAAGGCAGAAGTCGAGGTGGCCGATGAGCTGCTGGGTGAGGCTTTATTACTGTGCATGAGGTACCTTCTCATGTGGAATAGGATACCCCTGTGCACAGTCTGTGGCGGATGGTGGCCTCTGGTTTGTCCGAGAGACCTGGCTTGCCAGCCTGCCCCATGTGGTAAATGTGCAATGGGGGAGGTCCTTCTTAGGAGCTGCCCAGCCAGAAGAATGGAGGAGGGGCCTGCTCCCGGCCTCTGCACCCCAGTGTGTTACCTCCCTACCTGCCCAGGTCTTGCTCCTCTGCGGGCCAGCTCCCTGCTAGAGCCCACCCTCCCACCCAGCTCCCCGACAAAGGCTGAGCCATGAGGCCACAAAAGAGCATGTGGCTGCTGGCTCTGCAGCTGAGAGGTCGGTGGGGGGGGTCCTGGGACCTGGGGGTGGGAGGATGCATGATGAGGACACCCCGGCATGCCAGTTTCCAGGTTTTGAAGTGAAGTAATTGTTGTAGTGAACTTCTGTAAGATACAGCATACAGAGCTGAGCAGTAGCGTGTTTCTTTGGGTAAGAGTCTGTGTTTGTGTTGTTTTAGAAAATCTGGCCAAACTGTTCAGTTTGATGGACCCAAATTCTCCAGAACGAGTGGCTTTTGTGTCTCGAGCCCTGAAGTGGTCCAGTGGAGGATCTGGGAAACTGGGCCACCCCCGGCTCCACCAGCTGCTGGCCCTCACCCTCTGGAAAGGTAGGCCGGGGGCACTTGTGCAGACAGCAGCTCTCAGGGGCGGGTGCGAGCCGTCCCGGGGACAGCTGTCCCTTCTTATGCCCCACGCGGCTTGTATTTGTGTTAGCCGCTTTAATCAGGTGAACTCATGGGCCACAGGAGGTAAGGAGGAGAGATTTTGCTCTCCACCGGCCTGGCCCTTCCTGCCCGTGGGCCTTGACCGTACCCCCACCAGCCTCCTTTCTGGGACATCCTCCCCAGACCGGCCCTCTGATGGCACCCTGCTCTGTGTTTTCTTCACATTTATCTCAGCTTCTGAATAAGCATTTGTGGGGACTATTCAGTCCACGAAGGGGGGATCCTGGTAGTTCCTGGGTGTGGTTCCCATCCTGAGCTCTGAGTCTTGCTCTCAGGCACAGGAAAAGGCATTTGGTTGGGTGCCCTGAACAGCGTTTGTTCAGGAGAATTTGAAGAGCTGTCTCCTACGTGGTGAGTACCTTGCAGGCAGCTCATTCACAGTGCATCAGCCTTCGTGGGGGTACGGCTGGGCAAGGGGTAGGTGAAGGGATGTGATGGTGGGCAGGTGCCTTGGTGGGAGCAGAGGGGCAGCCTCCTTCACTTGGGGGCAGCCTTCCACCAGCAATGTCTGTGACAGCAAGCTCCTCCTGGAAACAGCCTGCTTGCAGCAGGCGGCACGGTGGTCAGACAGACGGATCTGTCTCCTCCACGGTCAGCGGGCCCAGGGCGCGTTCCTGCTTGTGGTGGGCACCCGCCATGAGCCCAGCACTTGTTCATGCTGGGAAGCCAGCCGTGTGAGCATCTGCGGGCAGTGGTGCTCACTCCACTGTGTGTCCCCACCCGCTGTGACCCACGAGGCGGGAGGTTTCTCCGTTCCCTGCGTGCTGGCACGCTAGCCCTACCCTCACCCCGGAGGGACATGACGAGAAAACGGTCAGATGTCAGTTCAAAGGTTGGACAGTCAAGGAAACGCTCCTTGGAGGGTGCAGTGGAATCCCTCCCCCACCCCTATCCAAGAAGCATGTGGGGCCCGAGAACTAGCAGCTGACACCTCGAGGCCGGGGCCGTCGCCATCGTGGGCTCCCTCCTCTGCTGGCGCACGTTTCCCGGGGGCGCCTTGCTCCTCCGGACTTGGCCTCAGCCCGCCGCCCTGGCCTGCCCAGCTGGCATGGTCCCCGTGTATTTTCTGTCTGTCCCGCCCGCAGGACACTAGTGTGCGTTCGCTGAGCTCGGTGGGGGGCCATCTGCACTCGCCAGCCTGGCGGGGGTGCCCTGGACTCCCGCCTTGTCCCCCAGGGGTGCTCAGTCTGCACGTGCAGGGGGCTGGCAGCGCCTGCGGCAACCCTCTGTGATCAGCGAGCGTTGATTTGGCACCGTTACGCCCGGTCTGTGTTTGTGGGTGTGTGGGGAGATGCCAGGAAGAAAATGGGGCATGACCCAGTGTCTGTGGCAAAGAAGCAGAACTGAGGCTTCAAGAGTCCTCAGAGCCCTCGCTGGCTGAGAGCCAGCTGTAAGGCGTGGATGTTTAACGGGACGGTTTTAAAATTCAAGAGACCGCAGTTACACGTAGTGCTTGAGGCACAGACCCCAAGTAGAGGAGCGCGGATTCCACGTCCTGTCCTGCTCTGCAATGTCCACGGTGTCTGGAGGCTGTGCTTAGGGATGTCTGCTGAGCTGTGGTGCCTGGGGCAGGCCCAGGTGGGGACCTCCGGGGAGGTGTGTCCCCCGATGGGGGCGGAGCCATCTGCCACCACGTCGGCTTGCCGTCCGCAGCTCGCCGCCTCTGGGCGTGTTCGCTGCGTGTGGTGGTCCGTTATTCAGGCGTCCCTCGTTCGGTTGCGCGCGTTTTACAAAGTCAGGGTTTGTGGCGGCCCTGCCTCGAGCAAGCTTGCTGGCGCCACGTTGCCAACCGCATTGTTCACTTGGTGTCCCCGCGTCACAGTCGGTCGTTCTAGCAACAGCGCAGGCTTTATCGTTATAACTTGTTACGATGGTCTGTGACCGTGGTCTCTGATACTGTCCTGGTTTTGGGGCGCCAGGAGCTGCGTTCATGGAAGAGGGTGGATTTCACCGATAAATGTGTGTATGCTGACTGCTCTACCAACCAGCCCGTCCCACGTCTGTCCCCTTCTTCCGGCCTCTGTGTTTCCTGAGACCCAACGGTATTGAAATTGGGCCAGTTCATGACCCTACAGTGGCCTCTGTCCGAGTGAAAGGAAGAGTCCTACGTCTCTCATTTTAAGTAACACACTTCCGATGGTTCAGCTCAGTGAGGATGGCTTGTCCAAAGCTGAGGTAGGCTGAAAGCCAGGCCTCTTGTACCAAACAGCAAGTAGTGAACGCAAAGCACCCGCTCCTGAAGGACGTGACAAGGGTTAGTCCAGTGACACGTGAATGAAGGGAAAGCTGATACGGAGACAGTTTGAGTGGTCAGGATAGAAGATCAGCCACAAAATTCCCTCAAGGCAAAGCCTGATCCGGAGCGAGGCCTTGACTCTCCTCAGTTCCATGAAGGCTGAAGGAGGTGAGGAGGCTGCAGAACGAGGGTTTGAAGCTAGCAGAGGCTGGTTCGTGGGGTTTTAGGGAAGAGGTATTCGCCATAACCTAAAAGTGCACAGTGACCTAGAAGCTGCGGCAAGTGACCCTGAAGGTCTGGCTGATACCTTACTGAAGGTGTCCGCACTCGACAGATTTTCAGTGACGATGAAACAGCCTGATAGAAGAAGATGCCGTCTAGGGCTTTCAGGACTTATGTACCTAGAGAGAAGTCAACGTCTGGCTTCAAAGCTTCAAAGGACAAGCTGATTCTCTTGTTAGGGGCTAATACAGCTGGTAACGTTAAGTTGAAGCCAATGCTCATTTACCATTCTGAAAATCTTAGGGCCCTTAAGAATTAGGCTAAATCTACTCTGCCTGTCCTGTATAAATGCAACAACAAAGCCTGGATGTCAGTGAATCTATTTACAACATGCTTTACTGAACAGTAAGCCCACTGTCGAGACCTAATGCTCAGAAAAAAGATTCCTTTCAAAATAGTACTGCTTGCTGACAATGCACCTGGTCACCCAAGAGCCCTGATGGAGATGAGCAGCAAGATAAATGTTTTCATGCCTGACACAACATCCATTCTGCAGCCCAAGGATCAAGGAGTCATTTCAACCTTCAGGTCTTATTATTTAATAAATACACTCCGTAAGGCTATCGCCGCCATAGACAGTGATTCCTCTGATGGTTCGGGGAAAAGTCCATTGAACACTTCCCAGAAAGGATTCATCGTTCTAGATGTCACTGAGAACATCCATAATTTATAGGAAGAGGTCAAAATATCAGTAGTGACAGCAGTTTGATAGACATTGATTCCAAACCTCATGGACGAGTTTGAGGGGTTCAAGACTCCATGGAGGAAGGCACTGCAGATGTGGTGGAAACGGCACGAGAACTAGAATCAGCAGTGGAGCCTGAACGTGGGACCCAACTGCTGCCATCTCACACTTGAACGGACGAGGATCTGCGTCTTATGGAGGAGCAAATAAACTGGTTTCTTGAGATGGGATCCACTCCCGGTGAAGATGCTGTGACGACTGTTGAAGTGACCACAAAGAATTCAGAGGATCATACGAGCTGAGCTGATAAAGCAGCAGTGGGGTGTCAGACGACTGACTCCCAGGCTGAAAGAAGTTCTCCTGTGGGTAGAATGCTATCCAACAGCATCCCACACTATAGAGAAATCCCTCATGAAAGGAAGCGTCCATCAGTGCAGCAAACGTCAGTGCTGTCTGATTTTAAGAACTTGGCATGGCCACCCCAGCCTTCAGCAGCCACCACCCTGATCAGTCAGCAGCCATCGATGACGAGGCAGACCCTCCACCAGCAAAAAAGACTGTGAGTCCCTGAAAGCTCAGGTGATGTTAGCATTTCTTAGCCGTCAAGCATTTCTTACTTAAGGCGTTCATAGACATAATGCTGCTGCACACTTAACAGACTACGGTGTGGTGTCAGCATAGCTTTTATGTGCACTGGGAAGCCAGAAAGTTTGACCTGCTTTGTCGCAGAACTTGCTTTGTTGTGGTGGTCTGGAACCGGGCCCACAGTATGCCCGAGCTGCGCCTGGGTGTGACAGAGCACATGGGTGTCGTTTTGCCCAATTTCTCTTCTCATAGGATGCTCTAAAACCAAAAGCTTATTCTAGGGGGTCTGAGGGAGAGAGGAGAGACCGCACAGGTACGCAAAGAAATGCTGACTCCAAATTGTTGTGCATTCCTGAAGGCGGCACGCGGGGCCCTGAGAGCTGGTGTACCCAGTAGAAGGTGGCAGGCAGCAGAGGCCGGGGCCTGAGCCCTGGAAAGGCGTGGGAACCAGGTGGCTTGTGAGCAGTGATCCTGTTTGCTCCGGGAGACGGACCAGGGTGTGGGGAGGTGGTCTGGGAGGTGGCTCGGCCTAGGCTGGGTCTCTGCCTCGGCACAGCTGCTGCCCTGGGCGTCCTGTGCTCTGTCGGACGCTGAGCACACCCACTTAGCTGTGGCAGCCGGAAAAGGAGGGGCTGGGGTGTTGAGTCCTCAGTGTGGAGGAGGAGGGAGGAGCAGGTAGACTTTTCAGTGATGAGTGGGGACAGTAGGTTTACAGTCTGAGTCACTTGCTGATGTTGAGAAGATTGGGATTTGGGTCATTTTTTTTTTTTTAAAGATTTTATTTATTTATTCATGAGAGACAGAGAGAGAGAGAGAGAGAGGGAACACAGCAGGGGGAGTGGGAGAGGGAGAAGCAGGCTTCCCGCTGGAGCAGGGAGCCCAATGCAGGGCTCGATCCCAGGACCCTGGGATCATGACCTGAGCCGAAGGCAGACGCCCAACCATCTGAGCCACCCAGGCGCCCGGATTTGGGTCATTTTTTAAAAAACAGAAACGCTGAGTGTCGGAGCAGACCGGCACTGTGGTGCTGTTAGCCCGAGAGCTTCCTGCGTCGCGGAACTTGACGCGCTGGGAGCCCCGTGTGCGGGCAGGAGGGTGGGGGCAGGACGGCACGCTGGCGCATGCATGTGCATCACTGTCCCCCTTCCCTCCGTAGAGCAGAACTACTGTGAGTCCCGGTACCACTTCCTGCACTCTGCGGACGGCGAAGGCTGCGCCCACATGCTGGTGGAGTACTCGACCTCCAGGGGCTTCCGCAGCGAGGTGGACATGTTCGTGGCCCAGGCTGTGCTACAGTAGGTACCCACTCCCGCTCGGTCCCAGCCGGGCCGCATGGCTGTCCGGGTCCGCCCCGCGACCCTGCAGACCTCTCGGCTCGGGGCATGCCGTCCCTCTCCGCTCTGCCAGGCGGCTGCGGAAGTGAGTGTCCGGAGTTAGTGTTCTGTTGTGACTCCCCAGTGTCTGTTTTCTCACGGCACCTCTTAGAGGTTTTTGGCTTTCTTAGCGTCAGGCCACTGTTTCTTACAGGGCATGTGTATTTAATAAATTCCACGAGGTGTCTTGGAATGGGGACCGCACGTGCTTTTGAAGCATTTCCAAGGCTGCGCCTGGCTTCCCGGACGTCTCGAGTGTGCGTCCCCGCCCCGTCAGGCCTCCTCGCTTCCTCCTCCCCGCTTCCTCCTCCCCGCTTCCTCCTCCCCGCTTCCTCCTCCCCGCTTCCTCCTCCCCGCTTCCTCCTCCCCGCTTCCTCCTCCCCGTCCGTGCCCGCAGCAGGCCTGGGTGGTGCTGGTGCGCACGGCACACGGGAGGGGTCAGCGGCCCGCACCGCCCGCCCGAGCTCCGGGCGTCTCCCGCGTGTGCTCCTCCCGCAGACACACACCAGTTTGGTGGCCGGGCATCGGGATAGGAGATGTCTTAGGAATTTGAAGGGGTTGGGGTCACAGAACGCTCACTGTATGCCCTCGACAGCACCTCGGAGCTTCCGCGCTCTGCAGCTCACAGACAGACGTTTCTTCGACCCCAGCGCTCCCTGCCCCGGGCTGTGGGGTGTATGGTGCAGAGTCCCTGGGCCAGACGGGATCATGTGCAACCACCTGACGCCTTCCCATCGGTCCCTCCCTGTAGCTTAACAAGGTGGAGGCCCCCAGTGCAGATAGTCCAGCTGTGGAGACGCCCCCCCTGGGGCAGAGAAAAGCCTGTCCCCCGCCCGGCCTGCACCCGGGGCCTGCAGCCTCGTTCCCACGGACCCCTGGGCTGACTGCTCATGTAGGCAGGGGCCTGACAGGTGCAAACAGGCTGTAGTCGCGACAACTCCCCGCAGTGTCCAAGCTCTGCTGCCCTTGGACACTGTCACCTTCCGAAGCTTCATCTCTTCACCCATCAACTGTGGCAATCAGGAGGTGCCCTGCTCACGGGGGGCAGCTTTCTGAGCACCGAGCCTGGCCCGGCGGGTCCTCGGTTTGCCGGAGCTGTGGGACGGGACAGCTTTCTGTGCCCCCGAGGCGTCCCGTGTGCCGTGCTCACCTGAGCACCTGTAGAAATGCCGCTGTGTTCTGCATCAGTCGCCCACTTACTAGGATGTTGCTTCCAGGTTTCTCTGTTTAAAAAACAAAAACAGCGCGTCGGTGGTGTTCACGACATACACACAGAAGCACCCGTCCATCGAGAACGGCCCTCCGTTCGTACAGCCTCTGCTCAACTTCATCTGGTTTCTGCTGTTGGCTGTAGACGGGTGAGTTTCCCATGTGTGTTTGGGGGGAGTTGCACGTGTGCTTTTCTTGTTCGGCTCTCCATGATTTTCGCGTGGAAACAGAGTTGGGCCCGCTGTTCTCCCGTTTCAGAGGCAAACTGACCGTATTCACGGTGTTGTGTGAGCAGTACCAGCCGTCCCTGCGGCGAGACCCGATGTACAACGAGGTGAGAGGCTGGGGGCAGCAGCCAGAGAGCAAGAGAAGTCCTCCGTCCCCAGGCGGCCCTCGGGAACGGGATGGGAACGGGATGGGAACGGGACGGGCCCCGAAAGGAGTGTGGGGGAGGTCTTGCGCATGGGGCGTGTTCTGGCTCCACGGTGACCCCACGCCCCTCCTCTTCCAGTACCTCGACAGGATAGGACAGCTCTTCTTCGGCGTGCCGCCCAAGCAGACTTCTTCCTACGGGGGCTTGCTAGGTAAGGCTGGAGCAGGGGGTGCCTGCGGGGTGGGAGCAGAGCCGGTGTGGCCGCCTCACACCCTGGCCTCCCCCGGGGCACTCTCTCCACTGCCCGGCTTGTGGTGGCGCTCTCCCGAGGCTCCGTGTCTCTGGCTGGCCTCGAGGTCCTTCTCCAGCAGATTCCCAAACATGCCTGAGAGGGTCCTGTTGGCCCTAGGGCTTCTCTCTCCTTTGGCCATAGAATCAAGGAGGATTTTTTCTTTTTTTATTCTGGTAAAATACACATATCCCAAAATTTGCTGTTTAATCATTTCTCAGTGTCCAGTTCAGGGGCACCGTCCCCCCGTCCGCCTCCAGAACGTTCCATCCCGCACACGGAGACCCTGTCCCCGTGACGCACGGACCCCCACCCGCTCCCCCAGCCCCGGCCCCGCCGTCTACCCTCTGTGTCCGTGAGTCTGACGACTCCAGGACCTTGTGGGAGTGGGGTCCCCGTGCGTGTCCTTCCGTGTCTGGCTCGTCCCCGTGGGGGCAGGGGTGGTTCCTTCCTTTAGAAGGCCGGGTCATACCCTGTGGTGTGGACGGACCACACTGTGTTCGTCCATTCCTCTGTGGTGCACCCCATAATGCTGCTGTAAATGTGGGGGCATGTGCATCTGCTTGAGCCCCTGCATCCAGTGCTTTGGGTAATATACCCTGAGGTGGGATTGCTGGGTCACGTCGAAATTTGGTTTAACTTGTGAGATGCTGCCAGACTGCCTTCCACAGCGGCAGCCCCGTTTCCCATCCCGCCAGCCGTGCACAGGGTTCCAGTTTCTCCGTGTCCTCGCCCGCGTTTGCTGTTGTCTGTGCCTCAGTAGTGGGTGTGAGGGTCTCACCGTGGCTCTGATTCACATCGCCCTGACGGTTAGTGATGTTGAGCGTCTTTTCTTGTGCTTATTGGTCATTTGCATGTCTCTGTGTCCATTCAAGTCATGTGCCTATTTTTGAATCAGGTTGGTGATTTCTCTATACTGGATACTAATCCCTCATCAGATATAAAATTCCTGAACATTTTTTCCAATTCTGTGGGTTGCCTTTTTTTTTTTTTTTAAAGACTATTTTTTAAAAGTTTCAGTGGGGCATTTGAGTGGTACAGTCGGTTGAGCATCCAGCTCTTGGTTTCGGCTCAGGTCATGATCTCAGGGTCCTGACATTGAACTCCATGTTGGACTCCACGCTCAGCATGGAGTCTGCTTGGGATTCTCTGCCTCTCCCCCTGCTCGTGTGCACTCTCTCTAAAATAAATAAATTTTTTAAAAAGTAAGTAAAAGCAGTTTTAGCTTCACAGCAAGATAAAGAGGAAGGTATGGAGAATATCCGTTTCCGTCTGTGCCCCCCCACAGCTGTTACCGGCGCCCCCGTCAGAGTGGTGACTTTGTTAGAATTGATGAACTTACGTGGACACTGGAAGTTCATGGTTTACGTTGGGGTTACTTCTGATGTCATACATGTACAGTTTTAGACACACGTGTCCACCATTAGAAAGAGTCCTACAGAGTGGTTTCTGCCCTGAAAACCCTGTGCTCAGCCTGCTCACCCCTCCCCACACTCCACTGCCTTTTCTCTCTGTAGGTGCTTCTGATGCGCGGAATTTTAAATTTCCACGAAGTCCAGTATATCTGTCTCTCCTCCACTGCTCATGCCTTTGGTGTCCCATCCATAATGTCCTCGTCTGGCCCAGTGCGGTGAAGCTTTTGCCCCGTGTCGTCTTCTAAGAGTTCTGCTGTTCTCAGGTTTACATTGAGGTCCTTGATCCATTTAGAGGGTTTTGTTACATGGTGTGAGGTGTAGGGGTCCAGCGTCCTTCTTTTCGAGGACGTCCAGTGTCCTGGCATCATTGGCTGAAGAGACTATCCTTCACCCTGAGTGGTCTTGAAGCCCTTGTCAGAGCTGGTTTGACCCCTCTGCATGTGGGCTTATTTCTGGCCTCTGTGGTCTGTTCGGTGGGTCTCTGTGTGCCCACACCACACTGCTGTGCTCACTCTGGAGTAAGTTTTGAAATCAGGAAATGTGATCCCTCCGGTTTTGTTCTTTTTCAAGATCGTTTTGGCTGTTTGGTCCATTGCAATTCCATATACATTTTAGGATGAGCTTTTCTTGCAAACAAGACATTGGATTTTGACAGGGACTGCATTGAATCTGTGGATGGCAGTGGGTGGCACTGGTCTTTGCAGCGTGTCAAGTCCTCCAATCCACAGACTTGGGAAGCGCTTCCATTTATTTATGACTTTAATCTCTTTCCCCGGTGGTCTGTGGTTTTCATTCGTGAGTCCTTCATCTCCCTGGTTAAGGTTAGTGCCTAAGTATTTTACTCTTTTTGATGCTGTTGTAAATGGAACGTTTTTATAATTTCTTTTTCAGATTGTTCGTTGCTGGCGTAAAGAAACGCAACTGATTGTCGTGTGCTGACTTTGTATCCCATCACTTTGCTGAATTCGCTTACTCTGACAGCTCTTTTGTGGAGTCTGTAGGGTTTTCTGCATACAACACCATGTCGTACGCAAACAGATCATTTTGCTCCCTCCTCTCCACTGTAGATGCCTCTTCCCTCGTCCTCGTGCCTGGTTGCTACGGCTGGAGCTGCCAATACCGTGCGGACTGGAGGTGGTGAGGGCAGGCACCCTCCCCCTGCTCCTCCTCCTCCTCGAGAGGAGTTGGCAGTCTTCCACCACCGAGGATTACGGTTGCCGTGGGGTTTTCAGAGACGGCGGGTACTGTGGGGGGGCAGTCCCTCCTGTTCCTGGCCTGTTGAGTGCTTTCACGAGAGCGTCGCGTTTGGTCAAGTGCTGTTCCTGCAGGAGTTGAGATAGACGATCGTGTGGGCTTCGCCTCGTTCTGCTGACGACTGGCGGGTTCTCACGGGGAGCCCTCTGTGCTTTCCACGAATAAAGCGCTTGTTGTGGTGCGTCGTCCTTAATGTGCTGCCGAGTCCTGTTTTCCAGTGGTCTGTGTTCACAAGGGATACTGGTCTGTGATCCTCTCGTAGTATCTCTGGGGTTCTGCTGGCCGCGTCGGATGAGTTAGGAAGCGCTCCCTCCCCCTCAATTCTTTTGGAAAAGTTTGGGAAGGATTGGTGTTGGTTATTAAGTGTTGAGTAGAATTCACCAGGAAAGCCATCAGGGCCAGGGCTGTTCTTTGTTGGGAATTTTTGATGATGGATCCGGTCTCCTTACTTGTTACTGGTCTGTTCAGATGGTCCACTTCTTCATGGTTTAGTTTTGGTGGGTGTTGGAGGCCAGGCCTCTGCCCCTCATCTGCCTAGCCTGGCAACATGGTGTGGCCTTCCCCGCAGTCTCGTACGGACTTCTTCCCTCTGCCAGCCAACGGCCAGTTTAGTCCTTCATCTGAATGTGGATTTTGTGAGCCTGAATGTGGTGGGATTTTTGAGTAGATGCTGCTTCACAGAGTTCATCGTTCACCTGCACGTACTTAAACCAGTCTTGCCGTTGAGAGGTCTCATGCAGCCAGGCAGCATCGAGGCTTCCCTCCTCAGCTTCCTTCTGGAAGTGACGTCACAGAATCACAGGTGGCTGATCTACGTAAGGGATACATGTCCCCCACGCTGACTGCACCGTGTTCCTGCCGGAGCTGACGTGGCCCCCAGGTGACAGGCTCAGGCGGGCGCTTGTCCCGCAAAGCTTGGCGGTGCTGCTCACGCCCTACTGCCCAAATCCAGGTGGGCACCCTGCCTCGTGGGCCCCGCAGGGTTGGCCTGGCTGGGCATTTGCGTCCTTTGAGCCATAACCACGCTCTGTGGAAAGGTCTTTTGTCTGAGATGATTTTGAAGGTTGCTATACACAGTTGGACTTTCTACTTGAAAACTGTGTCTGGATTTGTCTCGTGGAAGGTACTCCCGCCGTATCCGGGCCTGGGTGGGGCTGCGTGCATCTGAAGCCGAGGTGGGGTTTCTGTGGATTGGCGTCTCTTGGGCGTGACATCCCGCCCTCAAGCCTCGCCACGGGCGTCCTGACACTTGGTGCCCGTTCATTTCCCACCAGAACTTCAGACTTGCCCCTTCCGGCACCCGGGCTTCTGGTGGCCTGTTCGTTGGACCTGATTTCACATGCCCGAGTCTGTCCAGACAGCGTTGTTCTTTCCATGGTGGTTTGGCTTCAGGGGACCCTCTGATCTCCTAAGTTTGCATCAAATCGTGTCAGTGGTAGCAGCCCTGGGGGGGACGGTGGTCACCATTTCTGCATGTGAACGCGTCCTCACCTCTTTGTGATGTCCCCGTGTGATGTGCACTCGTGTGCTCGCTCGACGGTGACCTCCCCGGGACGTGGTTCTGCTGACGACCCTCCGGGGCTGTCAGGCTGCCGTGCTGTGTCCCCCGGATGGGCCCTCGGGGTCTTTCGCCGGCTGCCAGGGCCTTGCAGCCACGCTGAGTGTTCCCAGAGACTCGGGGGGGCCCCGGGAACATGGCACCATGGAAGGTGGGGTTCCCCGGGCAGGGGGTGCTGACCGCGTGCAGCCGCCGTGCCCCTGACGGCCCCTGCGTTTGCTTCCAGGGAACCTTCTGAGCAGCCTCATGGGCGCCTCGGAGCAGGAGGGCGAGGACAGTCAGGACGACAGCAGCCCCATTGAGCTCGACTGACCCCGCCCGCCTGGCCTGCATGAAGATGCCCTGACCCCGGGCCCTCACCCCCGGGGCTCCCGTTGTGAGGCGATGGTGGCCGCCCGTGAGCTCGCCCGGGGCTGCGGCTGGGCCGGCTGGGCTGCACCTGCACCTTCAGACTGACCCACAATAAAGCACAGGCCTTGCCGCGCTACCACCCTTTCCCTGTCCTTTGTGTCTGGTTTGCTTTGGGAGACGACCCGGCGGCGGCGCAGGCCCGCAGGCCCGATCCCGTTGAAGGTGGTGTGGGGGGCGGCCGCCGGCGGCCCGGAGAGCATCTGGGCGGCCGCTCTGGGCCACACCGTGAGGCCGCGGCCATTTGGGATCAGGAGTCCTTTCCACGTTTCGTAATGCAGTATTTATTTTCATTGGGTGGTTGGTTCCTTTGACCTGGCATTGTAGGTTTTAACCAAATAACCAGGAGTGAGCAGATCTGCCCTTTCTCACGCTATACCAGATGTTCCCAGAGCAGTGACGAGAGGGGAAACACTTTATTTTTTCACAATTAAATAAGAGTTGTAGATTAATACACAGTGATCATGCATGGGAAGGAGTTGAGATACACACTTTTATTGACTGTAAAATGGAATTTAAAGGAAGGTTTGTGTTACTTGTTGAGTTGAAATAAATCCTTTATACTGGGCTTTGCAGCGCTCGTCCTTTCTGAGTGAGCTCCTGGGGCCGGCGGGCGGGAGCGGTTGCCGAGACCAGTGGTGGCCGGGTCTGTGCGCGCTGTGCCCGCAGGGGGCGCTGTGGACGGCCACGAGCGGCCAGTGTCGGGAAGGTCTTGTGATTCGTGTGTAGCTACGTGGTGGTTTCTTTAAATGTGAGAAACCAAATCCAGTGGGGTCCTGCCTTGTCACAGGTTCTGCGTGCAGGCCACGGGGTGGGGGAAGGAGAGCGCTGAGCCCCCCACAAACTACCCACCGGGGCTCTCTGTGGAGGGTGGTGGTGGAGGGAGTCCTGGCAAGGGGCAGGCCCCACGCCTGCGACGGACCCCCAGCTTGTGCCGTGATGCTTGTTCTGAAACCACAATAATGCATCCGGCACAGTCAGTTCAGTGGGAGGGACGTCGGAGCAGAATGTGGGTTTTTCTGTGGAATTTCGCCCCACACTAAGTAGATGAGCCCAGACCGCGCACACCTCCCGGCGTCCCTCCGCACTCCCCTCGTGGTGGCAGCGTCTGTCTCGTCCTCAGCCCGTGGAGACCCCCCCTCCCGGGTGGGGGACAGCTTTGCAGCCGTGCACCTGACCCCGCTTTCCCTGTGAGCACTGCCACTTTTTTCATGCAGTTGTGAATGGCACTGTCATTTTCGGGGAACGCGGCCTCCCGTTCGTAGCATGCGGGCCGTGGGTTGCCCACGTCTCCACTGTGCGGAGGTGTGTGAGGTAAGCACCGTGACCACCCTTTGCGGGCCATGAGCTCCCGACCTCGTTGGAGAACTCCCACCAGTGGTAAAACGTTCTGGTGTTTCTTTTTAACATGTTACTGTCTTGGGCACGACGCCCTCGCGTCTGGTCAAGACGGCCTAGAAGACCAGTCCCGGAGAATGCGTGGCTGGGGCTGCTCCCCGGATGGGGAGGGGGAGTCCTGGGGGCCTCTATCTTTTCATTTCCACCCAGGATGAGAAACCCGCCCCCCTCCCCCCCCCCGCCTCTGGGGCTTGAGGTTCTTTGTCTAGAAGCGGGGAAGATGGGCTAGCGATCACGGGTGTGGCATCTGGCGTGGCTGGGGAAGAGGCACCTGCCTGGAGCAGGAGGGGGTGGGGGCCCTGGGTGACCCTGTGACTGTCCTCACCCCCCGGCCCAGCCATCTTGGGGACCGGAGCAGAGATGGGAGTGAGGGGGGCACTCCTCTCTTGCCCCTGCAGCTGCACCCCCATCCAGGCCTACACAGGTCTGAGCAGGGGAGCCCCATGCTCAGGTGCAGAGGGGAGATGGGGTGGTGGGAGTCAGGCCCACGAGGATAGGCAGAGGCCCTGGGGCACCCTTCTGGGGATGTCCCCACTCCTGGCACGTATCGGAGCCCAGCAGGTAGGTCCTCCTGGGGACCCCGTGCCCCCTCCCCAGCCCCTGACCTACACAAGGGGCCACTTTAGGATAGGACATGAGGGTTGGTGTGACAGGACACCCTGCCTTGGGGACCCCCTCCTGGTCCTCTCAAGGGCTGGTCCAGGGCTGCCTTAGGGGATGACGGGGGCTGGGGGGCCACCGAAATCACCCAGTCGGTACCCGCCACCTACACATGCTGCTTCTCTGCCCCCCCCAGCCCCCCACTGGGGGAGGAGGCTAAGTGGTCCTAAGTACCGGCTGGCCAGTATGCTGGGTCCTGTGGGGGACTCCGGGCTTCCACCTTCCAAGGGCTCAGTGACCACAAGGTCAGGCTGGTGGGGTGGGTCAGCAGCCAGTGCCCAGCGGGTGGCAGACAGGAGCTGACCCTCCATTCGCCCTTCCAATCCAGGCGTGCTGGGGCCCAGGGAGCTGCAGCTCCCCAGTGCCTCTGACCCCCAGGGCCCTCACGCACGTGCCAGGTCAGCTGCTTGAGGAGGAGGACCATGTCCCCCATGCTAGCACCCAGGACCCCATGACCGACACGCAGCAGGTGCTCAATAAATACTTGTTGAGGGGGACTTGGAGGAGCAGGGTGGGGAGGGGAGGCATGCAGGCCGCCTGCTGCCCCCACGGCCCAGCCTCCTGGGCAGGGTCCTGCTCAGGTGGGCAGGGGGCAAGGGGAGTTGGTGAGGGGCTGCCAGGCTGCCCTGAGCCAGGAGGCCGGGCCTAGGCCTCAGAGGAAGGGTGGTTCGGTGGGTGGGTGGGCGGGCGGTCACATCAGTGGGTGGCAGCATGGTGGGGTCAGAGGTCAGGTCGGCCGGCCTGCAGTGAGGTTCCAGAGAAACAGGTCCTAGTGGCTAAAGCTCAGGCCCCACGTGGCCAAGTCCGGGGCTGCCACTTAGGGCCGGGGCCAGGAAGCCGGGTCCTTCATCTGCCAGCCCCCCAGTCTGGCCGCTGCCTCCTCGATGGCCACTTCAGCGAGTCCAGTTCCCTCGGGCCTCCAGAACCATCTCTCGTTAGGGTTTATGTTTGAAGTGGGCTTCCACTGGAAAAGGACAGGCGTTCAGCCGTGTCCCGGCCACCCAGGAGGCGTTGGGCTCACTCCCCTGCCACCCCACCTGCACTCACCCGCGTACTCCTGGGGCAGCATGGGCCTGTCCACGACCTTCCGAAAAGCCTCCACCCAGGCCCGCTGCTCCGGCTCCGTCTCGCAGGCCAGCAGGAACCTACGCCCTGGCGTCACGATGGTAATACCGTGTGGCCAGTGGTGGCCCTGGGTGGATGGCGGGAGTCCGTCCAGCACCGTGTAGCCACTCTCCCTGCTGCCGATGAAGACTTCCCCACGAGCAAAGGCGTCCTGTGGGCAGAGGCCGGGCAGCCCCTAGGCAAGGGGGTGGCTTTGCTCACAGCCGGGGAAGCCCCGGCCCCAGAGACCCGGCCCGCCCTCCTGCTCCTCATCCCCGCCGCCTGTGGCCAGCAGACAGGGGCCTGTCACTCATCTCCGTGTTGTGGGGGAGGACACGTCCACCTGCAAGGGCCCAGCCGACCTGGGCCGAGACCCTCCCTTACCAGGGGATCTTTGAAGTACATGAGCCTCCGGTCATCCATGGTGAACCAGCGCTTCCGGAAGCCTTCTGTTTGCTGTGGGTCAGAGAGTGCCGGGGTCCCGCTGGTCAGCCTGAGGCGGGGCACCCCCACGTGCGTGCGTTCATTCATCCTTCCTTCATTCGCGGCGCCTTCTGTGGGCGCTGCTGCATCCTGCTCTGTCCACTAGGTGGCTGCACTAAGGGCCTTTGCACGTGCTCTTCCTCCCCTCCCCACGTCCTACTCCTCGCGGTCCTCCCTGGGGGCCCCGTCTGGGCTGTGGGGCTACCGCGTGTGTGCTCCACGAGGCAGGGAAGGGGCTGAGCTGGCCCCTGTAGGGCCCGAGGAGGTGCACGGGGGGCCTGATGAAGGGGGGCGAAGGCACGAGGCCGGCTCAGCCCGATCCAGAGCCCCACAGTCCTGGGTCCACAGGGCCCCTGCTTACAAAAGGTTTTGGGGTCCAGGGCCATCCACACCAAGATGATCCGTTCAAAGTCCTCTCCCGGGGGTGCTCCTGGCACTTGGACCCACCACGGCCACCCCAGCCCCACCCAGCCCCAGGTAGCTGAGACGCTGATCTCAGAGGAGGCCTGGGGGGCTCAGGCCAGCCGGTCAGACCCACCTTGGGCCCCGTTTTCTCCATGTAGCCTTCCTTCAGGTAGTTCCGGGAGAGCTTCGGCACCAGCTAGGGCGGAAGATGGGCTCAGGCCTGGGCCGTCCTGGTCGCTCTCCCCCACACACCCCCGGCTCCCTCCCCACTTGCTTGCTGCCGCTGAGCTGAAATGCCCCAGAATAATGGAGAGGGGTACAGTCCCCCAGCCCCCCAGCGGACGCAAGCAGTCGCCACTCACATCAGCATCACTGGCCCCTGGGAATGCCACCTGCAGGTAGTGGAAGCGGGCAGCACGGAGCGCGTTGAACCAGTCCACGATCTCCTGTGGGTCAGAGGTAGGTGAACACAGGCAGGAGGGTGGATGCAGGCTGCTGGGGGACGGCCCTGAGGTGGCCTGGGAGGACAGGGACGGCTCCACACGGGGGACGGGCCGGGGGCCAGGGAACAAGCCATGCTGTGGCCAGCCAGCTCGGGATGGGCAGGGGACAAATGGGCGGGAGGGCCAGTGTCAAGCCAGCCGGCCCCCAAGCCCTGATGCAGATTTGGGTGTGGGGAGGCTTTTCTCCTCTCACAAACCGAGTATGTTGCCCAGAGCGAGGCTCATCTATTTTTAAATCCACCCAGAGCTGCTGCCTCCCATCTTCAAGGGGAGGAGGAGGAGAGAGCTGCTCTGCGTGAGCCGAACCCCCTCGCTGGACAGGGTGGACCCGCAGCCCCTACCCACCCCTCCTGGCTGCCATGCCCCACCACTCCCGAGACACCTGCCCACGGGATGCTGGAATCTGCCCAAATATCTCCTTCCCCTGCCAACAGCTGGCCATTGCCAGCCACGGGGCACCTGCATGCCTGTGAGGGCTCCAGAGCCCACTCCTGCCCAAGGGGTCATCCCGCGGCCACCTGGACCACAGCTAAAGTTACTCCTCCTCCACCACGCCCACCTGCTGCATGCCCCAGCCCTGCGCCTGGGCCAGGTCCATGCTGCAGTGTCTACACCAAGGCTCTGTCTCCCCCACCTGGTGCACAGGGTTCCCAATCCAGGCTGTGACTTCAACATTCTGGGCCCTGCCCACAACCCTCTTCACCCTTGGTGCACCCAGCCCCCTTCTAGGCACCAGTGAACTCTCCAGTCCCTCCCCTGGGGCCAGAAGGCATGGTCTCCTGCCTGCTCCCCAGCACTGGTCTCCCTCCTCCCTCAGGACTCCCTCAGCTCATTGAAACCATGGCAGCTGGATAGGTCAGTGGCAGTTCAAGTTGGCCGTGACATCTTCCAAGCAGAACACTGCACCTCTAATAAAGATACAAGTCCACAGCATGGCCACAGGCCCTGCAGGATCTGCCCAGCTCAAATGCCCTTCCTTTCCTACCTCAGCCTGGTCAGCTTCTCAAAATTATCCTTTTCCATCTGGCCACAGGGCCTTAGCACATGCCATCCCAGTACCGGTCTTCACCTTTGGGATGTGCCCCCCCCACTGTGCAGAGTCACTGTTCCTAGCCCTCAGTGTAAGTAGGATTTTAGTCGCTGGTCTCTGACTCACGCCCGTCTCTACTGGCACACGGTGCAGTCACTAACTGACAGCAGAGCCACGTCAGACAGGCTTACCTGTATCTAGGCACAGAGCCCAGCCCAGAGCAGGTACCCTAACCACAACCCTCTCTGAGGGAGGGGGGCCACTGGGGACTCACGCCAGCAGAGCATCATGCTACACATACAGAAGGGCCCTGGGCTCAGTCCCCCAAGGAAAATGAGGGTGGAGGCTTCTGGATAAAGCTGAAGACTGGCCCATATGCCTTGAGCCATGACCCGCCTAAAACCTGTTAATACCACATGCAATCTTACAAAACCAGGATCAGGAAGAAACAGAAAATTTGAACACACAATAATTATTACTAGTAACAAAATGGAATCTGTAACCAAAGAACACAACACACAAAAGTCCAGGACCAGATGGCTTCACCAGTGAATTTTACCAAACATTTAAAAAAGAGTTAATAGCTATTCTCAAACTATTGCAAAAAAATAGAAGGAAAGCTTCCAGATTCATTCTATGAGGCCAGCATTATCCTGATAACAAACCAGACACACTGTGAAAAAAGAGAACTACAGGTATTTCTGATGAACACAGATGCAAAAATCCTCAATGAAATACCAGCAAACCAAATCCAACAATACATTGAAAGGATCATTCACCCCAAGCAAGTAGGTTTCTTCCAGGGATGCAAGGATGGCTCAACATTTGCAAACCAATCAACGGGACATGTCACATCAACAAAACATTTAAAAACCATATGATCATCTCAGTAGATGCAGAAAAAGCAAAGGAAAGCAAGTGACAAAGTACAACATCTCTTCACGATAAAGCAGGGTTAGATGGGACATATGTTGACATGATGAAGGCCTGCTTATGTGACAAGTCTACAGCTGACCTCATGTGCAGTAGGGAAAAACAGTGCTTTTCCCCTAAGATCAGGATCAAGAATGAAATAACAATAGTAACTTGAAGCTATATGGAGAAATGATCTTAGGAAAGGTAACTACACTTTTTGTTATCTACATGATATAAAAGACTAATACTTTTGGGGCGCCTGGGTGGCTCAGTTGGTTAAGTGTCTGCCTTCGGCTCAGGTCAGTATCCCAGGGTCCTGGGATCGAGCCCCATGTCGGGCTCCCTGCCAAACAAGGAGTATGCTTCTTCCTCTCCTCCCTGTTCATGCTCTCTGTCACTTTCTCTCTTAAATAAAATTTTTTAAAAAGTAAAAAGACTAATACTTTTAAAGAAAAATAATCAGGAATTAAAAGCTGCTATTACTGTAACTTATTTGTAATTGCAAATCTTGTTTTATGCCTACTTAGGAGACAGTGCATTTAAAAGAATGATTATGTCTTGGGGCACACAATGTATAAAGATGAAATACTGTGACTTCGACAACCAAAAGGGTGTCGTACAGACAGCTGTGAAGGAACAGGGTTTCTGCACGTTACTGAAGTTAGACTACTACAGATTCGATATAGAAGGTTATAAATTTAGGATGTTGAATGTAATCTCCGTGGCAACAAGGAAGAAAAGAGCTATAGAATATACACAAAAGGAAATTAGGAGGGAATTTAAACATTTCACATAAACTAAACACAGAAGACGACAGGAATGCAGGAAACGAGGGACAAAAAAAGCTGTAGGCCACACACAACATAAAGGGCACAAGGGAGAAGGAAGTCCCTCCTTACCAGCGTTCACATTACAGGTAAAGGGATGAGCCTCTCCAGTCAACAGGCAGAGAACGGCAGGACGGACAGAAACACGTGGTACACCACGGGCCGTCCACGAGAGATGAGGCCCAGATCTAAAGACACAGCGGGTCGGAAGTCAAAGGATGGGAAAGGATACCGTGCGTGGACAACCAGCAGGAGAGAGCTGGAGTGGTTTCACGAACATGAGACAAACAGACTAAGTCAGGAAAAGCCCACAGGGACGAAGGAGGACAGTCTATGTGAGTAGAAGCCTCGATAGAGCAAGAAGATCTAACAATTACATTTACGCACCTAATGACAGACCATCCAAGCATAGGAAGCCGAACCCGACAGAGCTGGAGGGGGACATCGCCAGCCTCGAATGACAGCTGGACACCGCGATGCTGCACTCACACTGATGGACAGAGACATCCGGCAGGAGTAAGGAAACCGAGGATCCAGGACGGCACACGCATTCCTCCCTAGGGCCCGCGGGGCGTCGTACCGTTGTACGGGATCGACCACACGTGAGGCCGCAGGTAAGTCTAGATCGATTTTAAAAGGTAGGTGTCTTACAGAGTACCTTCTCTGGCCACAACAGGGCGGAGTTAGAAGTCAACACAAAGAAAACTGGGACATTCACAACGTGGCGGAAATGTAACACACTTTTAAACGACCAGTGGATCAAGGAAGAGATCACAAGGGAAATTAGAAATGAAATGAAATTAGATGAAGGAAAACAAAACACGACACCAGAACACGGGATGTAGCAACGCTGGTGCTAACGGGGAAATCTGTAGCTGTAAATGGTGACATTACAAAACAAGAAGGATGTCAAGTCAACGACCGAACTTACAACCGAAGGAACTAGGCAAAGAAGAAACTAAACCCAAAGCTGGCAGAAGGGAGGAAATCATAAAGACTGGAGTAGAGATCAATGAAATGGAGAAAAGAAAACCAATAGAGAAAATAAATGAAAGCAAAAGTTGCTTCTTTGAGAAGATCAATGCATCGGCATGCCTTGAACTGGATGGCCTAAGAAACTGACTCAAGTCACTCAAATCAGACACAAAGTTGGGGACGCTGCTCCCAGAAATAAAAAGGTCTATGAGAGCGTGCTGTGAACAACCGTACACCAACAACAGGGTCACCTCGATGAGGTGGACAAATTCCTGGAAACAGAAAACCCACCAATTCTAAGTCAGGAAGACGTGGACCAGCTGAATGGTCCTATAAATGAGTAAGGAGACCGAATCCATCATCAAAAATTCCCAACAAAGAACAGCCCTGGCCCTGATGGCTTTCCTGGTGAATTCTACTCAACACTTAATAACCAACACCAATCCTTCCCAAACTTTTCCAAAAGAATTGAGGGGGAGGGAGCACTTCCTAACTCGTTCTGTGAGCTCTTCTATATTATACCCAGCATAACCTGGATACCAAAGCCAGACAAAAATACAAGACAACCACAGACCCATAGCCCTTCCGAACACTGATGTAAAAGTCCTCAACAAGATACTAATGAGCCGAATTCAGCAGTATATTAAGGATTATACGCCATGACCAAGTGAGATTTATTCCTAAAATGCAAGGGATTCTCAACATGAAAACTGATGAAGTTAATACACCACATTAATAGAATGAAGGAAAAACAAATCACATGATCATCTTAGTTGATGCATTAAATGTATTTGACAAAATTCATATGGAATATCTGGGAACCCAAGTAGCCAAATAATCCTTAAAAAGAACAAAACTGGAAGAACTGCACTTCTAATTTCAAAACTTATGACGAAGTCACAGCAGTCCAAAGAGCATGGCACTGGCATAAAGACAGACATAGACCAGTGGAATAGGAGAGAGAGCCCAGAAATTGGTCAAATTATTTGTTGAGAAAAGTGTCAATACCATTTAATCGGGAAAGGACTGTCTTTTCAACAGTACTGCGGAAACTGGATATCCACGTAAAAAAGAATGAAGTTGGGTGCGCCTGGGTGGCTCAGTCGTTAAGCGTCTGCCTTCGGCTCAGGTCATGATCCCAGGGTCCTGGGACTGAGCCCCACATTAGGCTCCCTGCCCAGCGGGGAGCCTGTTTGTCCCTCTCTCTCTGCCTGCCACTCTGCCTACTTGTGTTCTGTCAAATAAATAAATAAAATCTTTAAAAAAAAAATGAAGTTGGGGTATGTGCACCCCGATGTTTATAGCAGCAATGTCCACAATAGCCAAACTGTGGAAAGAGCCAAGATGTCCATCAGCAGATGAATGGATAAAG